TCTTTGTGTCCATATGAACTGAATGTTTAGCTCCGACTTACATTGAGAGCCTACTTATTAGATTTTCTGTTCCTGTTTTAGTTCTGTTAGGATAATGGCCTCCAGCTCCATTTATGTTGCTGCAGAGGACATGATCTTACTTTTTTATGGTTATGTAGTATTCCTTGGTTATAAGTACCATATTTTTTAATCCAGTCTATCAGTGATGAGCATTTAGGTTGATTCTGTATCTTCATATCTTCTTTCTTCCTTTTTTAAGGACACTTGATAGGTAGGTTTTTTTTTTTTTTGAAGGCAGAATCTCGCTCTGTTACCCAGGCTGGAGCGCAGTGGCATAACATCTATACTTACTGCAACCTCTACCTTCCAGGTTCAAACAATTCTTTTGGCTCAGCCTCCCAAGTAGGTGGGATTACAGGTGTGCATTACCACACCTGGCTAATTTTTGTTTTTGCTTTCTTGTACAGATGGGGTGTCACCACATTGGTCAGGCTGGTTTCGAACTCTTGGTCTCAAGGGATCCACCCACTTTGGCCTCCCAAAGTGCTGGGATTACAGGTGTGAGCCACCACGCCTAGCCTATAGGTAGTTTTTTAATCCATCACCCACACGGCACCCTCTAGTATTCCTCTAGTATTTGTCTCTTGTTCCCATATTTATGTTCATGTGTGCTCAATATTTAGCTCCCGCTTGTAAGTGAGAATGTGTGGTGTTTAATTTACTGTTCCTGCATCAGTGTGCTTAGGATTATGGCCTCCAGCTCTATTCATGTGCTGCAAACAACATGATTTCATTCTTTTTTATGGCTACATAGTATTCCATGGTGAAAATGCTCTGTATTTTCTACGTCCAGTCTACCGTTGGTGATGCTTAATATTGAGTGTCAACTTGGTTGGATTGAAGGATGCAAAGTATTGTTACTGGACGTGCCTGTGAGGGTGTTGCCAAAGGAGATTAACATTGGAGTCAGTGAATTGGGAGAGCCAGACTCACCCTCAATCTGGGTAGGCACAATCTAATCAGCTCCTAGTGCTGGTAGAATAAATCAGGCAGAAGAATGTGGAAGGTTTACCTTGCTGAGTCTTCCAGCCTTCGTTTTTCACCTGTGCCGGATGCTTCCTGCCCTTGAACATTGGACTCCAAGTTTTTCATCTTTTGTACTCTTGAACTTACACCAGTTGTTTGCAAGGGGCTCTCAGGCCTTCAGCCACAGTCTGAAGGTTACACTGTGGCTTCCCAGCTTTTGGGGTTTTTGGGACTTGGACTGGCTTTCTTGCTCATCAGCTTGCAGAGGGACTATTGTGGGACTTCACCTTGTGATCATGTGAGCCAATACTCTTTAATTAACTCCCTTTTATATACATTGATCCTATTAGTCCTGTCCTTCTGGACAACCCTGACTGATACAACCAGTCCTGGGTACCTGGTCTGACTGTACGTCTTTGCTATTGTTAATACCACAATGATGAACATGTGAGTGCATGTGTCTTTTTGGTACAATGATTTATTTTCCTTGGGGTATATACCCAGAAATGGGAATTTTGGGTGAAATTGTAGCTCTGTTTTAAGTTCTTTGGGAAATACTCAGACTGTTTTCCACAGGGATCAGACTAATTTACATTCCCACCAATAGTGTTTAAACATTCCCCTTTTTCTTCAGCCTTGCCAGGAACTTTTTCTTTTTACCTTTTAATAATAGCTACTCTTCTTATTGCTGTCAGACCTTATATTACTGTGTGTGTTTTTTTTTTTTTTAAGACAGAGTCTCCCAAGCTGGAGTGCAGTGGTGTCATCTCAGCTCTCTGCAGCCTACGCTTCCTGGGTTCGAGTGATTCTCCTGCCTCAGCCTCCTGTGTAGCTGGGACTGCAGACATGTGCCACCACACCTGACCAATTTTTGTATTTTTACTAGAGACTGGGTTTCACCATGTTGGCCAGGCTGGTCTCGAACTCCTGACCCCAAATAATACAGCAACTTGGCCTCCCACAGTGTTGGGATTACAGGCGTGAGCCACTACATCTGGCCCTTATTGTGGTTTTGGTTTAAATTTCTCTGGATGATTAGTGACATGAGCACATTTTTTCATATGTTTGTTGACCATTCTATGTCTTTTTCTAATATTTGCCTCTTAATGGGGTTGATTTTTGCTTGTTGGTTTGTTTAAGTGTCCTGTAGATTCAGGATATTAGCCCTCTGTCAAATGCGTAGTTTGTCAGTGACATCTGTTTGGAAGTGATAATGGTTCTATACCTAGAAAATGCCTTCTTTAAGAAAATAAAATTCTATTTGTGGATATAGCACCTTTTCTTTACATACCTGCTTTGGGCATTTGGGTTGCTTCTGCCTCTTCGGTATTGTGAATCATGCTCCAGTAAACATGGATATGCAGATGTATCTTTGAGATCCTGCTTTGAATTACTCTGGGTATATACCCAAAAGTGGGATTTCTGGATCATATAGTAATACTACTTTTAATTTTGCAGGTACCTCCACCATACGTTTTTCCACAGTGTCTGCACCATTTTATGTTCCCATCAACAGCATGCAAAGGTTCCAATTCCCTGTCCCCTTAACAACACTTGCTGTTTTCTGTTTTGCTCTTGTTGCCCAGGCTTGAGTACAATGGCATGGTCTCGGCTCACTGCAACCTCTGCCACCTGGGTTCAAGTGATTCTCCTGCCTCAGCCTCCCCAACAAGCTGGAATTATAGGCGTCTGCCACCATGCCCAGCTAATTTTTGTATTTTTAGTAGAGACAGGGTTTCACCATGTTGGCCAGGCTGGTCTCGAACTCCCGACCTCAGGTGATCCACTCGCCTGAGCCTCCCAAAGTGCTGAGATTACAGACCTGAGCTACCACGCCCAGCTTATTGTTTGTCAGTTTTATCTTCTAATGGATGTGAGGTGATATCTCATTATGGATTCGATTTGCATTTGTCTAGTAAATAGTGACACGGAGCATGTTTTCATATACATACTGGCCATTCGTTTGTCTTCTTTTCTATTTTTTTTTTTTTTTNTTTTTTGAGATGGAGTATTGCTCTATCATCCAGGTTGAAATGTAGTGGCGCAATCTCGGCTCACTGCAACCTTCACCTCCCAGGTTCGAGCAGTTTTCTGCCTCAGCCTCCCAAGTAGTTGGGATTACAGGTACTTGTCACCATGCCCAGGTAATTTTTTTTTTTTTTTCAGTAGAAACTGGGTTTCACCATCTTGGCCAAATTGGTCTTGAACTCCTGCCACTGTGATCCACCTGCCTCAGCCTCCCAACATGCTGAGATTACAGGCATGAATCACCGCGCCTGGCCCATTTGTTTATCTTCTTTGGAAAAAAAAAGAAAAACCCTATTCAATTACATTGCCTCTTTTTAAAAACCAGGGTTCTATGTTGTGAATTGTTTCCTTCCTTCCTTCCTTCCTTTTTTTTTTTTTTTTTGAATCAAATCTTGCTCTGTTGCTCAGCATGGAGAGCGGTGCCAGAATCATGGCTCACTGCAGCCACAACTTCCTAGGTGCCATAGATCCTCCCACTCAGGCTCTTGGGTCCACAGGCACATGCCAATACATCTAGCTAATTGTTTTTAATGTTTATTTTTCAGTAGAGATGTGCTTCATTCTTTTCCAGTAGATTATGTCTGGTTTTTGCCAATATTGTATTATTTCAAATTACTGTAGCTTTGTTATATACTTGGAAATCAGGAAGTGCCTCCACCTTTGTGTTTTTCATGCTGAATGTTGATTTAACTTTTTTGGGTTTTTTGTGGATCCAGATAAACTGCATGTTTTTTTCTCTATTTCTGGAAAACTGTGATTGTGATTTTGATAGGAATTACACAGACTTTAAATAACTTTGTGTAGTATGGATATGTTGACAATATTAATTAGTCCCGGTGGTGGTGTTGAGGCAGTGTTGACCTGGAGGCATTGGGGTGGGTGTTAGTATGGTCACGTTCACTGCGTGATGGGACGTTGCCTGAGAGATCAGTGCATAACACTCCTGTGGATGTGACCAAAGCAAGGGTGATAGAAGATGGTGTGTCCTGTCTGCCTGGTACTTGTAGGATCAGGCAAGACATCCTGTAGGAAAAGGAGGCATTACGTTTGGATGTCCTGAAGGCATGGTGCAGGCACCAGGACTGAGTGGTGGGGTGGAAGCTCATGTCTTGAGGTCTTTTGGCTACATGGGGAAGACAGCTTCTGGACTTGATGCCAAGTTGCAGACCATGTTGGGCATTACGATGACACTCTCCAGTGCTGGTTTTGGTTGGTTTCCGGCTAGGTACATCTCACCGGGGAGAGCAGCAAGAGACAATGTCAGATAAAGACTTCAGATGCCTCATGAATAGGAGTATGTGCTCGCACTAGGCTGTTAGGTGAGGGACCTTAGACCTATGTTGCATGGCCTGACATCAGAGTTCACACTCTACTGATGGAAGGCCTTGGTCTTGAACTGTCAGGTTGCCGAGGGTCAGGACTGGAGGCCGCAGACTATGAGGGCCCTTTGCAGTGTTGGGAAATGTATGTGCACCCGGCAAAGGAGATACACACACAAAATCAAACTCACAAACATAACACACAGACACGGAATTACACACACACATGCACACACACACACACACACACACACACAGAGGAGCTCACAGAAACAGGCAAATAGATGCAGAAATGGCGCATGTAATAGTAGAAATGAGCGCATGTAGGCCACACGTGCTCCCCTAGGTGTCCACAGAGTGACACGGGTAAGGTACATTCATAAAGAGAGAGGTCAATCTTGGAGGGGAAGGACAAGCAGGTACATCAGTTGACCTGTGGGAGAGAATGGCATGGAAGCGGTGAGAATGGACCCAAGCCTGTTTCTTAAGCGTGTATCTTATTTCTTTACAATTGCTCAGATAAGTTGCCATGGGAGGCCCACTGCTTGTTGGAAAGGAAGATGGTCGATTCTTCTGAGTAATGGAGGCCCTACAGAGTCCTGTAGTCACTGTGGCCTGGAATCCACTGTGCACCCCATGCTGACGGATGCTCAGGATGGTAAGCATTCCTCTGCCCCATGTGTTGAATGAGGCTGGCTTTTGAATGGCCTAGACCTGCACAGAGCTGTTTCTTTTTTATTTTTATTTTTATTTTTATTTTTATTTTGGGACAGAGTTTCACTCTTGTTAACCAGGCTGGAGTGCAATGGCGCGATCTCGGCTCACCGCAACCTCCGCCTCCTGGGTTCAGGCAATTCTCCTGCCTCAGCCTCCTCAGTAGCTGGGATTACAGGCACGCACCACCATGCCCAGCTCATTTTTTGTATTTTTAGTAGAGACGGGGTTTCACCATGTTGACCAGGATGGTCTCAATCTGTTGACCTCGTGATCCACCCGCTTTGGCCTCCCAAAGTGCTGGGATTACAGGCGTGAGCCACCGCGCCTGGCCAGAGCTGTTTCTTAGCAACGAACGGCATGACAAGTTCCACTCCCAGAGTGGAGGGTCCGTGTCCATTGGTCAGTGGGGTGGTTCTGGCTTCGCCAGGGTGCTGAAGGTCTTTAAGGTCATCTGCTGGCCCACTGTCCAGCCTACAGTGTCAGAAATTCTCCCCCTTCAAGTGTGCTTGGATCGATGATGAGTCCCCCAAAAAAACATTCCTTGGAAAAGCTGAACAAAATGAGTGAAAACTCATACCGTCGCTCTCATCGGAACTGAGGTCCAGCACATTGCCTCCCTCGGGGACTGTAGGAGTCAGGGACAAGGAGAAGCAGGTGTACGAGTTGTCCCTTGGGAAAGACTAACATTGATGTGACTGGTGGACCTGAGCTTGTTCCTCAAATGTGCATATGTTATCTTTGCACTTCTCAGGGGCAGTTGCCTTTAAAGGCCTGCCGCATGCTGGCCTGACAGATGGTCCTTTCTTCCAAGTAGCGGAGTCCCCATGGAGTCGTGGAGTCAGTGTGGCCTGGCATCCATGGTGCACCTCATGCTGGCAGGTGACTCAGGATGGTGAGCATTCCTCTCCCCTCATGCTGAGTGAGGGTGTCTTTCAGATTTCGAAGACAGGCCTTGCCTAGCCTGTAGTATCAAATGTCCTGTGTCTTCAAATGTGCTTGGATCGATGATGAGTTCCCAAAAAAAAACATTCCTTGGAAAGCTGAACAAAATGAGTGAAAGCTCATACCGTCGCTCTCATCGGAACTGAGGTCCAGCACGTTGCCTCCCCTGGGGACTGTAGGAGTGAGGGACAGTTTCCACTTGTTCCTGCAGGATTCCCCACCCAGGGCATCCACAGCCGAAAGTCTCATGTCACAGTTACGTTAGGAACATTCCCTTTGTGTGAGGTAGGTGGTTGCAAGAGTCATGGGGGATTTGGCTGATGTGTGATGGCGTGTTGGCACTGGAAGCCGGTGGAAATGCCGCAGGCCTAGGGAAGGCAGAAACATCACTGGCTTAGGGGAGTGTGCTGCTGGTGAGGTCCCATGAAGGGAGATCCAGACCTCACAGTGCTCATCTCGTGCAGATGATCAGGTCTCTGTTTTCATGTGGATGAGAACCCAAGGCCCAGGTCTCAGGTAGACTTTGGCCTTGATTTTGGATTAGTTGAGGACAGTGGAGTGCCAAGGTGTTAGGGGAGAGTGCTGAGCAATGGGTGTCAGGGCAGATGGCAAAGCCTCTTCTGCCCACCTGCAGATTGGTTACAGGAGGTCCCCGCTTGGAAGGGATTTCTTTATCTCCCAAGCTGTGAGATGCCTGTGGTACGGTGGCAGAAGCCTGGGCAGGAAGGTGTTCCAGACAAAAGGTGGTTGAGCACTCACATGGACATGAGTGTCATCAGCAGGCTTGGGCTGTAATTCAGTGGTGATGGGCTTTCCATGAATTTCTCTGGTGCCTCAGGGATCTTTGAGAGCAGGTCCTGGGGAACATAAGGGTCAGGTTGGTGCCCATGGCCCTGGGTCACTTCCAGTCTTCCCAGCAGAGTAGTGGGCTCCTCCGTTGAGTAATTCTTCCCAGAAATGGTCTCTTGGCCCACGTTGGTGGGCAGCCCCACCTGCTGCGGCTCATTAAGAGTCTCTGGATCCTCTTTCCTCCTTTGAAAGCAGCTTCCATCCTACAAGCATCCAGAGTGAATGTTCCTTGAGCCTGGCTCTCGCCCAGGTCTCTGCCATGGGCACTAGTCACACTTGGGGCTGTCCATGGAGGTCCATGTGCATTCCAGGCAACACGTGTGCAATCCCAGGGGTGCTGCCACAGAGTCCCTTGACTTGGGATGCGTCATAGCTCCGTGTGTTGGCGATAATTTAAGTGTTGGATTCTACTACACCCTAGGGGTGATGAACCGTTTCAGCTCCCTTAACCAGTTTGAAGTCTCAGCGCAGCCAGGATAGCCATGCCATGTTAAAGGGCACATGAATGGCTTAGGAAAGTTGAAAAGGATTGGTGGTTTTGAGCTCACAGCTCACTGACTAGCTGCAAGCATGTAGACCCAGTGGTAGTGTTCAGGCAGTGTTGAGCTTCAGGTGTTGGGGCAGGTACTGCTGCAGTCAAGCTGGCTGCATAGTGGGATGTCGCCTCAGAGGTCAGTGCAGGGAAGCCCTGTGGGTGTGTCCGACGCAAGGAAAGTGAAAGGCAGTATGTCTTGTCCACCTGGTCCTTGGAGCCTCAGGCAGGCGGAGACATCCTGTTGGAAAAGCGGCCATTCCCTTTGAGTGTCCAGAGGACACGGTGCAGGCACGTGGACTGAGTGAAGGGGAGGAAGCCCCTCTCTTGAGGTCCTTTGGCTAGGCTGGGGAGACCACCTCTGGCCTAGACACCAAGTTTCAGACCAATGTGCTACCCATTGCAAAATCACCCTCCAGCTTAGGTTGTGGTTGATTTTCCACCAGGTGCACCTCACCTGATACGGCTACGAGAGACAGTGTCTGCTCGTGTCCTCAGATGTCCCATGAGGAGGATCGTGTATTCCCCTGGCTGTTAGGCGACTGACCTCAGGCTAGTGTCCTCATGGTCTCCAAGTCGGAATTCACTTCCTTCTGATTGAAGGTCTTGGTCTTGAGCTGCTGGGTTGGCGGGTGTCAGGCCAGGAGGCTGCAGAATATGACTGCCTATTGTAGTGTTGGGAAAGATGTGTTAGGAAATGTGCGTGAGAGACACATACACACAGACAACTATATACACACACACAGGCATGCAGAACACAGGCAAATACATGCAGCTGTTGGCTTGTGTGACCGCTAACGCTTTTAGATGTTCACAATGTAACACGTGTAAGGTATATTCATGGAGATGGAGATCAGTTATGGAAGCCAAGGAATAAGAGGTGTGCGAGTTGCCCCGTGTGAAAGAATGGGATGGAAGTGTTGAGCGGTGGACCTAGGCCCATTTCTCATGCGTGCATTTGATTTCCTTACATTGCTCAGGGGCGGTTGCCATGGGAGGCCCACCGCCTGCTAAAAGGCCCACCGCTTGCTCGATTTTTCTGAGCATTGGAAGAGGCTTCCTGGGTTCAGAGTGGCGTGGCCTCCATGGTGCACCTCGTGCTGGTGGACAAGTTAGGACGGTAAGCATTCCTCTGCTCCACATGCTGGGTGGGGGTGTCTCTGGGATTTCCAAGACTCGCAAGGAGCTGCTTCTTAGCAGGCCACTGATAGCATGGCGAGTTCCACTCCTGAAGAGAATAGTCTGTGACCATTGCTCAGTGGCCCAGCTCTGAGTTCCACACGGTGCCAAAGATCTTTAAGGTCATTGGCTTGCCCACTGCCCAGCCTGTAGTGTCAGACATCCTGCCTCTTCAAATGTGCTTGGATCGATGATGAGTCCAACAAAAAAAACATTCCTTGGAAAGCTGAACAAAATGAGTGAAAATTCATACCGTCGCTCTCATCGGAACTGAGGTCCAGCACGTTGCCTCCCCCGGGGACTGTAGGAGTGAGGGACAAGGAGAAGCAGGTTTACAAGTTATCCCTTGGGAAAGACTAATATTGATGTGACCAGTGGATCTGGGCTTGTTCCTCAAGTGTACATTTGATATCTTTGCACTTCTCAGGGGCAGTTGCCTGGAGAGGCCCACCATGTGCTGCCGCAACAGATGGTCGATTGTTCCAGGCAGCGGAGTCACCATGGAGTCGTGGAGTCAGTGTGGCCCGGCATCCATGGTGCACCTCGTGCTAGCAGGTGGCTCAGGACGGTAAGGATTCCTCTGCCTCTAGTGCTGAGTGAGGGCATTTTTCATATTTCCAAGGCAGGCATTGCACAGCCTGTAGTGTCAAACGTCCTGTGTTTTCAAATGTGCTTGGATCGATGATGAGTCCTACAAAAAACATTCCTTGGAAAAGCTGAACAAAATGAGTGAAAACTCATACCGTCGCTCTCATCGGAACTGAGGTCCTGCACATTGTCTCCCCTGGGGCCTGTAGGAGTGAGGGACAATGAGAAGCAGGTGCACAAGTTGCCTTTTGGGAAAAACATTGATGTGACCAGTGGCCTTGGGCTCATTCCTCAAGCGTGCATGTGATATCTTTGCACTTCTCAGGGGCTGTTGCCTTGAGAGGCCCACCATGTGCTGCTGCAACAGATGGTCGATTCTTCCAGGCAGTGGAGTCCCCATGGAATCGTGGAGTCCCCATGGAATCGTGGAGTCAGTGTGGCCTGGCATCCATGGTGCACCTCATGCTGGCGGGTGTCTCAGGATGGTAAGCATTTCTCTCCCCTAGTGCTGAGTGAGGGTATCTTTCAGATTTCCAAGACAGGCATTGCCCGGCCTGTGGTGTCAAACTTCCTGTATCTTCAAATGTGCTTGGATCGATGATGAGTCCTACAAAAAAACATTCCTTGGAAAAGCTGAACAAAATGAGTGAAAGCTCATACCGTCGCTCTCATCGGAACTGAGGTCCAGCACAGTGAATGGAATTGAAGTGGTTATCAGCAGACCTGGGCCTATTTCTCAAGTGTGCATTTGATTTATTTAAACTTCTCAGGAGCAGTTAATCATGAAAGCTCTGCTGCTTACTGGCAAGGAAGATGGGCTAACCTTCTGACCAGTGGAGGCTGCATTGAGTCCTTGATTCGGCCTGGCCTGGCGTCTACAGTGCACCCCATGCTGCTGGGTGGCTTAGGACGGTAAGCATTTCTTTGCCCTGTGTGCAGAGGTATCTTTCAAATTTCTGACACCCAAAAAGAGCTGTTTGTTAGCAGGCCACTAATGGCAGGGAGAGTTCCACTCCCTGAGTCTGTGGTCTGTGACCATTGCTCGGTGGCGCAGCTCTGGGTCCCCCAGGGTGCCAAAGGTCTTTAGGGTCATTGGCTTGCCCACTGCCCAGCCTGTGGTGTCAAACTTCCTACCTCTTGGAATGTGCTTGGATCAATGATGAGTCCCTCAAAAAAACATTCCTTGGAAAAGCTGAACAAAATGAGTGAAAGCTCATACCGTCGCTCTCATCGGAACTGAGGTCCAGCACATTGCCTCCCCTGGGGACTGTAGGAGTGAGAGACAACTTCACTGATTCCCATAGTTTCCACCACCCAGGGCGTTCAGAGGCCCAAGGCTCCCGTCAAATGCTAGTTAGGAATATTCCCTCTTTGTGAGGTACATAGTTGGCAGAGTCCTGGGGGGAATGGCTGCTGTGTAATGGTGTGGGGGCCATGGAAGTAGACGGAAATGTTGCAGGCCAAGGGGAGTGTGCTCCTGGTCCTGGCTTGGTGAGCTCCCAGGAAGGGAGACTCGGACCTCGTGGTCGGCATCTCTGCACACAGGACTGGGTCCTTGTTTTCTAGGTGGGGAGAGGATAATGCTCAGGCCTTAGTTAGAACTTGGTACTGATTTTTGAAGAGCTGAGGACCAGCAAGTGCCGAGGTGATGGGGGACAGTGTGCAGCAAAGGATGTCATGGCAGATGGTCAGAGGCTCTATGGCCCCCCAGCATTCAGTCATGGAGGCATGCATTTCTTCATTCACTGAGGTGTAAGATGCCCCTGGTGCCATGATGGAGGCCTGGGCTGGAAACTACCCAAGAGAACAGGTGGTAGGGGGCTTACGTGGATACCTGTGTCATCAGAATTCTTGTGCTGTTTGGTGGTGATGGGTTTCCATTAATTTCTCTAATGGGGAGGACAAATTGGCCAGCGAGGGTCATAGAGGGCAAATTCCAGGGAATACGAGGGTCAGGCTCGTGCCCCTGGCCCTGGGTCTCTTGTTGTCTTCCTGACGGTATAGTGGGCTCCACCACTGTGCACATTTTCCTGTAAATGTTCTGTTGGCCTGCCGTTCTTCCCATTACATGAGGAAATACTGCTCTGGATCCTCTTTCCCACTTGGAATGTAGCTTCCATCCAAGAGGCATCTAGAGGAGTTGTGCCCTGTCCCTGGCCATGGACTCTCCTCCTGTGGGCGTCAGTCACACAAGGGGCTATCCATGGATGTCCGTGTGCATTCCAAGCAACATGTGTGCCATTCCCGCAGCCTGCCATACGGAGTTCTTTGATTTGGGATGCCCCTGCATCTCCCATGTTGGTGACGCTCCAGTGTTGCATTCCACCACTCCCTAAGGATGATTAAGCATTTCAGCTCTCTTAAACAGTTTGAAGTCACAGGACATCCAGAGCAGCCATATCATGTTGAGGGGCGCACAGCTGTGTTAGGAATGTTGGAAAGGATTGGCGGTTCTGTGGATCGCAGTTCCTTAGTAGCTGTGTACATGTAGACCTGGTGATGGTGTTGAGTTGCAGGAGCAGTGGTGGGTGGTAGTGTAGTCAGGTTGGCTGTGTAATGGGGTGTCACCTCAGAGTTTGGTACAGAGAAGTCCTGTGGGTGTGACCAGTGCAAGGACTCTGGAAGGCAGTGTGTCCTGTCAACCCAGTCCTTGGGGCAGGGACGTTATGTTGGAAAGCAGCCATTCCCTTTGGGTGTCCTGAAGTTGCAGTGTGCGCATGTGGACTGAATGGAAGGGACAAAGCCCATGTCTTGAGGTCCTTTGCCTAGGTTGGGAAGACTGCCTCTGGCCTGATGCCATTTTTCAGATCTACGGGTTGGCCATTGCAAAGATGCCATTCAGGGCTGCTTGTGGTTGTTTTTCTGCCAGGTGAGCTTCAGCTGTGAATGGAGCCAGAGATGGGGTCTGGTCAGGATACCAGATGCTCCATGAGGAGGTGTGTGTGCTCAGACCAGGGTAGTAGCTGTTAGATGAATGAACTGAGGCCTAGGTCCTCATGGAAGTGAAAATTCATAATCTCCTGATTGCAAGCATTGGTCTCGAGCCTTTGGCTTATGGGTGGGCTTCAGGTCTAGAGGCTGCAGACTCTGATCACTTACTGCAGTGTTGGGAGATACATGTGCATGAGGGAGGTAAACTCAGACACTCACACTATCAGACACATACACAAACGTGTGCACAGCCACAGGCAGACACACATAGCAACAGGCTTCCTAGGTGTCAAGACTTCCTGGGTGCCTAGAAAGTGACACAGGACAGGTGTATTCATAAAAATGGAGGTCCATTATGGAGGCCCTGTGGAAAGAATGACGTTGAGGTACCAGTGAATCTGTGCTCATTTCTGAAGTGGTCATTTGATTTCTTTCCACTTCTCAGGGGCAGTTATAATGGGACATCTGCCATACGCTGGCAAGGAAGATGGTCAGTTCTTCTGGGACACAAAGGCCCCCAAAGTCCTTGAGTCAGTGTGGCCTGGCCTCCACGGTGCACCCCCTGCTGGTGGATGGCTCAGGACGGTAAGGATTCCTCTGCCATGAGTGCTGAGGGTGGTGTCTTTGGGAATTCCAAGACTTGCAAGGAGCTGTTTCTTACCAGGCCACTGAAAGCATGGCGAGTTCCACTCCTAAAGTGAATAGTCTGTGACCATTGCTCAGTGGCATAGCTCTGGGTTCTGCAGGGTTCCAAAGGTCTTTAAGGCCATCAGCTTGCCCACTGCCTAGATTGTGGTGTCAAATGTCCTGTGTCTTTGCAATGTACTTGGATCGATGATGAGTCCAACAAAAAAAAACATTCCTTGGAAAAGCTGAACAAAATGAGTGAGAACTCATACCGTCGCTCTCATCGGAACTGAGGTCCAGCACATTGCCTCCCCTGGGGACTGTTAGTAGTGAGGTACAAGGAGAAGCAGGTGTATGAGTTGCCCCTTGGGCAAGATTGACAATGACGTGACCAGTGGACCTGGGTTCATTTCTCAAGTGTGCATTTGATATGTTTGCACTTCTCAGGGGCAGTTGCCTTGAGGGGCCCACCACGTGCTGCCACAACAGATGGTCGATTCTTCCAAGCAACAGAGTCCCCATGGAGTTGTGGAGTCGATGTGTCCTGGCACCCATGGTGCACCTCATGCTGGCGGGTGGCTCAGGACGGTAAGGATTGAGTTCTCTGCCCCTAGTGCTGAGTGAGCATATCTTTTGGATTTTCAGGACAGGCATTGCCCACCTTGTGATGTTAAATGTCCTGCATCTTCTAATTTGCTTGGATCGATGATGAGTCCTACAAAAAAACATTCCATGGAAAAGCTGAACAAAATGAGTGAAAACTCATACCGTCGCTCTCATCGGAACTGAGGTCCAGCACATTGCCTCCCCCGGGGCCTGTAGGAGTGAGGGATGACTTCACAGATTCCCAGAGGTTCTACCATCCAGGGCTTCCACAGACCAACGTCTCCCATCGCACGCTCGTTAGGAACATTCTGTTTGTGTGAGGTACGTGGTTGGGAGTGTCCTCGAGGTAACGGCTGGTCTGTTACCCACTGTTCTGTAATGGCATGGCAGCCATGGAAGTGGACAGAAATACCATAGGTCTGGTATTTGTGTTCCTGGTCTTGGCTTGGTGAGCTCCCAGGAAGGGAGACCTGGACCTTGTGGTGGGATCTTTGCACAGAGGACTGGGTCCTTGTTTTCTTTCTGGGAGAGCATAAGGCCAAGGCCTCAGGCAGACCTTGGTACTAATTTTTGATGAGCTGAGGACAAGGTATTGCCAAGGGTGATGGTGGACAATGCGCAGCAAAGGCTGTCACGGCAGATAGCAAGATCCTCTTAGCGAGATTGCCTCTGGCCTGATGCCATTTTTCAGACCAACAGGTTGACTGTGCAAAGACATCCAGGCCCGCTCTCAGGGATTTCTTCATTCCCTTAGCTGTGACATTCCCCTGGTGGCATGGTAGAAGCCTGTGCTGGAAGGTACCCAAGAAAAGAGGTGGTGGGATCTTACGTGGACACCTGTGTCATCAGCAGTCTTGGACTCTCATTTGGTGGTCATGGGCATTCCATTAATTTCTCTAGTGGAGGACAAGTTGTCCAGCAGAGGACTTAGAAGGCAGGTGCCTGAGAATACAAGGGTTGGGCTCGTGCCAATGGCCCTGAGTCTCTTGCAGTCTTCCTGACACTGTAGTGGGATCCATCATTCTGCACTTCTTCCTGGAAGTGGTCTCTTGATCTGCCATTGCTGGGTGGCCGCACCTGCTGCAGTGTGTTTGAGCAAATACTGCTCTGAATCCTCTTTCCCACTTAGAAAGTAGCTCCCATCCCTAAAGTGTCCACAGGGAATGTGCCCTGGCCCAGGACACTCCCATGGGCATCAGTCACACATGGTGCTATCCGTGGAGGTCCATGTGCATTTCAGGCAACACCTGTGCCTTTCTAGCAGCCTGCCAGAGGGCGTTCCTAGAACTGGGATGCCCGTGCATCACCTGAGTTCGTGATATTCCAGTGCTGAATTCTGCCACTCCCTTAGGTTGATGATGCATTTCAGCTCCCTTAAACAGTTTGAAGTCACAGCCCATCGAGAACAGCCATATCATGTTGAGGGGCCCACAGCTATATTAGGAATGTTGGAAAGGATTGGTGGATATACGGATCGCAATCCTGAGTAGCCCTGTACATGTAGACCTGGTGATGGTGTTGAGTTGCAGAAGCTGTGGTGGCTGGTAGTACAGTCAAGTTGGCTGTGTGATGGGGTGTTGCCTCAGAGTTTGGTGCATAGAAGCCCTGTGTGTGACCAGTGCAAGGACCCTGGAAGGGAGTGTGTCCTGTCAACCCGGTCATTGGGGCAGGGACGTTATGTTGGAAAGCAGCCATTCCCTTTGGGTGTCCTGAATGTGCAGGGCATGTATGTGGACTGAATGGAAGGGAGGAAGCCTGTGTCTCAAGGTCCTTTGACAAGGTTGGGAAGATTGCCTCTGTCCTGATGCCGTTTTTCAGACCCATGGGTTGACCATTTCAAAGATGCCCTTCAGGGCTGATTGTGGTTGGTTTTCTGCCAGGAGAGCCTCAGCTGGTAGTGCGACCAGAGATGGGTTCTGGTCACGATGTCAGATGTCCAGTGATGAGGTGTGTGTGCTCAGACCAGGGGTGTCAGCTGTTAGATGAGTGACCTCAGGACTATGTCTTCATGGCCCTGAGGTCAACGTTCACATCCAACTGATTGAAGACCCTGGTCTTGAGCCTTTGGGTTGTGGTGGCGGGGGTGGTGCTTCAGGTCTTGAGGCTATAGACTTGATTGCCTGTTGTGGTGTTGGGAAACACATGGGCATAGGGAAACAAACAGAAACACTCACACACACACAAACAGGCGTGCACAGCCACGGTCAGAGAGACGCAGCATCAGGCTTCCTAGGTATGTAGAAAGTGACAAGGGTGAGGTGTATTCATTATTCATAAGGATAGAGGTCCATCATGGGGTCCAAGGAGAAGCAGGCATGTGAGGTGCCCTGTGGAAAGAATGGCCCAGTAATCTTGGGCTCATTTCTCACATGGGCATTTATTTCTTTGCACTTCTCAGAGACAGTTATGATGGGACATCCCCCATAACCTGGCAAGGAAGGTGGTCAGTTCTTCTGAGCCACAAAGGCCCCCAGAGTCCTGGTGTTGGTATGGCCTGGCCTCCATGGTGCACCCCTGCTGGTGGATGGCTCAGGACGGTAAGCGTTCCTCTGCGCCGCGTGCTGGGTGGGGGTGTCTTTGGGATTTCAAGACCTGCAAGGAGCAGTTTCTCAGCAGGTCACTGATGGCATGGCAACTTCCACTCCTAAAGTGAATGGTCTGTGCCCATTGCTCAGTGCATGGCTCTGGGTTCCACAGGGTGCTGAAGGTCTTTAAGGTCATCAGCTTTCCCACTGCCCAGCCTGTTGTTTCAAATGTGCTCCTTCTTTGCAATGTGCTTGGATCGATGATGAGTCCAACAAAAAAAACATTCCTTGGAAAGCTGAACAAAATGAGTGAGAACTCATACCGCCACTCTCATCGGAACTGAGGTCCAGCACATTGCCTCCCCACTGGACTGTAGGAGTGAGGGACAAGGAGAATCAGGTGTACAAGTTGTCCCTTGGGAAAGACTGATGTGGACCTGGGCTCATTCCTCAAGTGTGTATGTGTTATCTTTGAACTTCTCAGGAACAGTTGCCTTGAGAGGCCCGCTGTGTACTGCCACAACAGATGGTTGATTCTTCTGAGCAGCAGACTCCCCATGGAGTCATGGAGTCAGTGCGGGCTGGCATCCATGGTGCACCTCGTGCTGGAAGGTGGCTCAGGATGGTAAGGATTCCTCTGCCCCTAGTGCTGAGTGTGGATCTGTTTCTGATTTCCAAGGCAGACATTGACAAGCCTATGGTGTCAAATGTCCTGTGTCTTCATATGTGCTTGGATCAATGATGAGTCCCACAAAAAAACATTCCTTGGAAAAGCTGAACAAAATGAGTGAAAACTCATACCGTCGCTCTCATCGGAACTGAGGTCCAGCACATTGCCTCTCCCGGGGACTGTACGAACGAGGGATAACTTCCACTGATTCCCATAGGTTCCACCACACAGGGCTTCCACAGACCAATGTCTCCCATTGCAGGCTCATTAGGAACATTCCCTTTGAGTGAGGTACATAGGTGGGAGAGTCCTGGGGGGAGAGCTGATCTGTAGTCGTCTGGCAGCCATGGAAGTGTATGGAAATACCACAGGTCGGGAGTGTGCTCCTCGTCTTGGCTTGGTGAGCTCCCAGGAAGGGGACATAGAACGTATGGTGGGATTCCCTGTGAAGGGACTCGGTCCTAGTTTTCTTTCCAGAAGAGCATAAGGCCCAGGCCACAGACAAACCTTGGTACCGATTTTTTGATGATCTGAGGACAGGGGAGTGCCAATGGTGATGGAAGACAGGGTGTTGTGGCAGATAGCCAGATTCTCTGTGGCTTTCCACACAGGCTCCCCGTTAGGGATTTCTTCATTCCCTAAGCCATGAGATGTCCCTGGTGCTGTGGTGGAAGCATGGACCAGAGGGTATTGGAGAGAAGAGGCAATAGGGGGCTTACATGGCCATGTGTGTCATCAGCAATCTTGGGCTTTTGTTAGGTGGTGATGAATTTGTATTAATTTCTCTAGTGAAGGACAAGTCGGCCAGCTACGGTCTTAGAAGGCTTGTCCCAGAGGATGCAAGGGTAAGGCTTGTACCCCAGGCCCTGGGTCTCTTGCAGTCTTCCTGACAGTGTAGTGGGATCCACCATTGTGCACATCTTCCTGGAAGTGGTCTGTTGATCCGCCCTTGATGGGCGGCCCTACCTGCTCCAGTGCATGTGAGCAAATATTGCTCTGGATCCTCTTTCCCACTTGGAAAGTAGCTTCCATCCCAAAGGCATCCACAGGGAATGTGCCCTGGCCCAGGACACTCCCGTGGGCATCAGTCACACAAGGGGCTATCCATGGAGGTTCGTGTGCATTCCAGGCAACAAATGTGCCATTCCAGCCTCCTGCCATAGAGAGTTCCTTGACTTGGGATGCCCGTGCACCTCCCATATTGGTGATGTTCCAGTGTTGCATTCCACCACTCCCTAAGGCTGAGAAATGTTTCAGCTCCCTTAAACAGTTTTAACTCACAGCACATCCAGGACAGAGACATACCATGTTGAGGGTCCCACAGCTGCATTAGGAATATTGGAAAGGATCGGTGGTTCTACAGATTGCAGTTGATTAGTAGCCGTGTACATGTAGACCGGGTGATGGTGCTGAGTTGCAGGAGCTGTGGTGGGTGGTAGGGCTGTCAACCTGGCTGTGTGATGGGGTGTTGCCTCAGAGTTTGGTGCAGAAAAGTCGTGTGTGACCAAGTACAAGGACAGTGAAGGCAGTATGTCCTGTCAACCTGGGCCTTGGGGCAGGGACATCCTGTTGGAAAGCAGCCATTCCTTTGAGTGTCCTGAAGGCACAGTGCGTGCTTGTGGACTGAATGGCAGGGAGGAAGCCTGTGTCTTGAGGTCATTTGACTAGGTTGGGAAGATTGATTGCCTCTGGCGTGATACCATTTTTCAGACCTACGGGTTGACCATTGCAAAGACAACATTCAGGGCTGATTGTGGTTGGTTTTCTGCCAGGTGAGCCTCAGCTGGGAGTGCGGCCAGTGATGGGGTCTGGTCACGATATCAGATGCCCCATGGGAGGTGAGGTGTGTGTGCTCAGATCAAGGGTGGTAGCTGTTAGGTAAGTGACTTCAGGCCTATGTCCTCATGGCCCTGAAGTCAAAGTTCACATCCAACTGATTGAAGACCTTGTTCTTGAGCCCTCGGGTTATGGGTGGGCCTCAGGTCTGGAGGCTGCAGACTCTGATTTCCTGTTGTGGTGCTACAAAACACATGTGCATGAGAGATACTAACACGCACAGTAACACTATCTCTCTCAAACACACACGCACACATGCAAACCGGCGTACACAGACAGATGCAGCAACAGTCTTCCTAGGTGTCCCGATTTCCTGGCTGTGTAGAAAGTGACACGGGTCAGGTATATTCATAAAGACAAAGGTCTATCTTGTAGGCCCAGGAGAAGCAGGCATGTGAGATGCTCTGTGGAAAGAATGGTATTGAAGCGACCAGTAAACCTGGGCTCATTTCTCAGGTGGGCATTTGATTTCTTTACAGTTCTCAGTGTCAGTTATCATGGGAAGTTCGCCATACGCTGAGAAGGAAAATGGTCAGTTCTTATGGGACACAAATGAGTCCTGGAGTCAGTATGGCCTGGCCTCCATGGTGCACCCCTGCTGGTGGATGGCTCAGGATGGTAAGCATTCTGTGCTGAGTGGGGGTGTCTTTGGGATTTCCAAGACCTGTAAGCAGTGGTTTCTCAACAGGCCACTGGTGGCATGGTGAGTTCCACTCCTCAACTGAATGTTCTGTGCCCATTACTTAGTGACATGGCTCTGGGTTCTGCATGGTACTGACGGTCTTTAAGGCCATCAGCTCGCCCTCTGCCCAGCCTGTGGTGTCAAATGTCCTGCCTCTCCGCAATGTGCTTGGATCGATGATGAGTCCTACAAAAAAAAACATTCCTTGGAAAAGCTGAACAAAATGAGTGAGAACTCATACCGTCGCTCTCAACGCAACTGAGGTCCAGCACATTTCCTTCTCAGGAGATTGTAGGAGTCAGGTAGAAGGAGAAGCAGGTGTAGTAGTTGCCCCTTGGGAAGATTGACATTGATGTGACCGGTGGACTGGGCTCATTCCTCAAGTGTGCATTTGATATCTCTGCACTCCTCAGGGGCAGTTGCCTGAAGAGGCCTGCCATGTGCTGCTGCAACAGATGGTCGATTCGTCTGAGCAACAGAGTCCCCATGGAGTCATGGAGTTGGTGTGGCCTGGCATCCATGGTGCACCTCATGCTCGCGGGTGACTCAGGACGGTAAGGATTCCTCTGCCCCGAGTGCTGAGTGAGGGTATCTTTCTGATTTCGAAGGCAGGCATTGACTAGCCTGTGGTGTCAAATGTCATGTGTCTTCAAATGAGCTTGGATCGATGATGAGTCCCACAAAAAAACATTCCTTGGAAAAGCTGAACAAAATGAGTGAAAGCTCATACCGTCGCTCTCATCGGAACTGAGGTCCAGCACATTGCCACCCCCAGGGACTGTAGGAGGGAGGGACAACTTCACAGATTCCCACAGGTTCCACCATCCACGGCTTCCATAGACCAGTGTCTCCCATCGCACGCTCATTAGGAACATTCGTTTGTATGACATACATGGGTGGGAGAGTCCTGGGGGTAATGGCTCCTCTGTAATGGTATGGCTGTGGTGCAAGCCGACAGAAATACCACAGGCCTAGGGGTGTGTGCTCCTGGTCCTGGCTTGGTGAGATCCCAGGCAGGGAGACCTGGACCTCGTGGTGGGATCTCTGCAGAGGACTGGGTCTTCATTTTCTTTCCAGGACAGCATAAAGCCCAGACATCAGGCAGACCTTTGTACTGACTTTTGGTTAGCCGAAGACAATGGAGTTCCAAGGGTGATGGAGGACAGTGCGTAGCATAGGGTGTTGCAGCAGCTAGCCAGAGCCTCTTTGGCCCTCCACCCAGCATCCCATAATGGAGGCCTTCCAGTGGATTTCTTCATTCCCTGAGCCGTGAGATGCCCCTGGTGCCGGGTGGAAGCCTGGACTGGAAGATCCTTCAGAGGAGAGGCAGCAGGGGGCTTACATGCACATGTGTGTCATCAGCAGCCTTGGGCTGTCGTTCAGTGGTGATGGGCTTTCCATTGATTTCTCTAGTGGAGGCCAAGTTGGCCAGCAGAGGTTGTAGAAGACAGATGGCAGAGAATACAAGGGTGGGGCTTATCACCCTGGCCCTACGTCTCCTGAGGTCTTTCTGACACAGTAGTGGGCCTCAGTGTTGTGCACACCTTCCTGGAAATGGTGTCTTGCCCACCATTGCTGGGTGGACCCACCTGCTGCAGTGCATGTGAGCAAATCACTGCTTTGGATCCTCTTTCTGGCTTGGAAAGTAGCTCCCATCCCAAATGTGTCCATAAGGAATGAGCCCTGGCCCCCGGCCTTGGCCCAGGACTCTCCCGTGGGTGTCAGTCACACATGGGGCTATCCGTGGAGGTCCATGTGCATTCCAGGCAACATCTGTAGCTTTCTAGCAGCCTGCCATAGAGAGTTCCTTGACTTCGGATGGCCATATACCTCCTGAGTTGGCGATATTCCAGTGTTGCATTCCACCACTCCCTTAGGTTGATGAAGCGTTTCAGCTCCCTTAAACAGTTTGAAGTCACAGCACATCCAGAACAGCCATATCATGTTGAGGGTTCCATAGCTGCATTAGGAAAGTTGGAAAGGATTGGTGGTTCTGTGGATCGCAGTTTATTAGTGGCCGTGTACATGTAGACCAGGTGATGGTGTTGAGTTGCAGGAGCTATGGTGGGTGGTAGTGCAGTCAAGTTGGCTGCGTGATGGCGTGTTGCCTCAGAGTTTGGTGCAGAGAAGCCCTGTGTGCAACCAGCGCAAGGACCCTGGAAGGCAGTGTGTCCTGTCACCCTGGTCCTTGGGGCAGGGACCTCATGTTGGAAAGCAGCCATTCCCTTTGGGTTTCCTGAAGATGCAGTGTGCGCATGTGGACTGAATGGAAGGGTGGAAGCCCATGTCTTGAGGTCCTTTGGCTAGGTTGGGAATATTTCTTCTGCCTCATGCCATTTTTCAGACCTATGGGTCGACCATTGTACAGGTGCTCCCCAGGGCTGGTTGTGGTTGGTTTTCTGCCAGGTGAGCCTCAGCTGGTAGTGCTGCCGGTGATGGGGTTTGGTCCCATTAGCAGATGACCTGAGAGGCGGTGCGTGTGCTCAGAACAAGGGTGGTAGTGTTAGGTGCATGACCTCATGGCCCCAAAGTCAGGGTTCACATCCATCTATTCGAAGACCTTGGTGTTGAGCCTTCAGGTTGTGGGGGGACCTCAGGTCTCGAGGCTACAGACTGATCACCTGCTGCGGTGTTGGGAAACATGTGCTTGAGGGACACAAACACACACTCAAACTGTCACACACACACACAAACACGTCTGCACAGCCATAGGCAGAGAGACATAGGAATAGGATTCCTAGGTGTTGAGACTTCCTAAGTGTCTAGAAAATGACACGGGTCAGGTATGTTCATAGACATGGAGGTCCATTATGGAGGCCAAGGAGAAGCAGGCAGATGAGTTGCCCTGTGGAAAGAATGGCATTGAAGCGATGAGTGAAGCTGGGCCCATTTCTCGATCATGCATTTGGTTTCTTTACACTTCTCAGGGGCAGTTATCTTGGGACGTCCCACATATCCTGGCAAGGAAGATGGTCCGTTCTTGTGAGCCGTCAAGGCCCCCAGAGCCCTGGAGTCATTATGGCCTGGCATCCATGGTGCACCCCCTGCGGTGGACGGCTCAGGAGGGTAAGTATTACTCTGCCCCACATGGTGAGTGGGGGTGTCTTTGCAGTTTCCAAGACCTGGAAGGAGCGGTTTCTCAGTAGGGCACTGATGGCATGGCAAGTTCCACTCCTAAAGTGAACAGTCTATGCCCATTTCTCAGTGGCCCAGCTCTGGGTTCCACCGGGTCCTGAAGGTCTTTAAGGTCATCGGCTGCCGCACGTCCCAACCTATGGTGTCAGACATCCTGCCTCTTCAAATGTGCTTGGATCAATGATGAGTCCAACAAAAAAAACATTCCTTGGAAAGCTGAACAAAATGAGTGAGAACTCATACCGTCGCTCTCATCGGAACTGAGGTCCAGCAC